CCACTATATGATCTTTGACAAGCCAATTAAAAACATTGAGTGGGGAAAAGATTCCCTATTTAACAAATGGTGCTGGGTGAACTGGCTGGCGACCTGCAGAAGACTGAAATTGGATCCACTCCTTTCACCACTAACTAAGATAGACTCTCACTGGATTAAAAATTTAAACTTAAGACATGAAACTATAAAAATACTAGGTGAAATTATAGAGAAAACTCTTGAAGAAATCGGCCTGGGAGAATATTTTATGAGGAGGACCCCTGGGCAATTGAAGCAACATCAAAAATATACTACTGGGACCTCATCAAATTAAAAAGCTTCTGGAAAACTTCTGCACTCATGGTGGGATTGCAAACTAATACATTCCTTTTGGAAAATCATCTTGAGAACATTTAGAGACCTAAAAATAGACCTGCCATTTGATCCTGCAATTCCTCTACTAGGTATATATCTGGAAGACCAAAAATCACACTACAATAAAGGTATTTGCACCAGAATATTCATTGCATCCCAATTCATAATTGCTAGGTCATGGAAGAAGCCCAAGTGCCCATTGACCCATGAATGGATTAGCAAATTATGGTATATGTACACCACAGAATACTATGGAGCCATAAAGAAAGATGGAGAGTTTACCTCCTTCATGTTTACATGGATAGAGCTGGAGAATATTCTTCTTAGCAAAGTATCTGAAGAACCAAAGAAAATGTATCCAATGTACTCAACCCGGTTATGAAACTAATTTATAGCTTTCATAGGAAAGCTGTAACCCAATTTTAGTCCAAGAATACAGGAAAAGGGGAGAGGGAGGGGAGGGGAGGGGAAAGATTGGGTGGAGGGAGGGCTATTGTTGAAATCATGTCTATGGTTTATCCTATGGGGGTACATATGAGTCTTTCTAAATGTAGAATATAAATTGATTAACACAATAACTAAGAAAATGACATGAAGGCTATGTTATCCAGTTGGATGGAAGTATTTCAAACTGTATATAGAAACAACACACTGTACCCCATGATAGTATTAATGTACACAACTATGATTTAATTTATAAAATAGGAAATTTGCAGTATCCAATAGGTTTTGATAGCTTGTGGCTTCATTGTCACTTTGTTTGAGGAATCTAAAGTTTTCCTTTTTTATTTCCTCTTTGATCCACTTTTTGTTCAGTATCAGTTTGTTTAGGTTTCATGGCTTTGTGTGGGGTTGAAGCTTTCTGTTGGAGTTGAATTCTACCCTTGTTCCACTGTGGTCCAAAAAGTTACAAGATATAATTTCTATTCCTTTCAATTTGTTGAGGATTGATTTGTGTCCTAGGATATGATCAGTTTTGGAGAATGATCTGTGAGCTGAAGAGACAAATGTATACTCAGTAATATTAGTGTAGTATGTTCTGTCTATGTCTATTAAGCTCAATTTCTCTCAGGTCATGTTTAAGTCCATTGATTTTTGTTTGTTTGTTTGTTTAATTTCTGTTTAGAGAATCTGTCTAGTTCTATCAGTGATGTGTTGAAGTTTCCAGCAATTATGGTATTGAAGAATATTTTATTGTTCAGACCGGTTAGGGTTTGTTTTATAAATCTGGGAGTATTTAAGTTAGGTGAATATATATTTATGATTGAAATGTCTCCTTTTTATATTGTTCCCTTGACCAATGTATAGTGTTCATCTCTGTCTTTCTTTACTTTTATTGGTTTAAATCCAATTGTATCTGCCAATAAGATAGCAGCCCCTGATTTCTTCTGATTTCCATTTGCCTAAAATATTGTTCTCCAGCCCTTAAACCTGAGTTTTACTTTGTCCTTCAAGACTAGGTGTGTTCTTGAAGACAAATGTAGTTGGCTTGTGTTTTTTTTTTTTGTTGTTTTTTTCATCCAGTGAGCCAGCCTGTGCCTCTTTAGTAGGGAATTCAAATCATTCACATTTATTGAGAGAATTGATAATTATGGTGGGTGTTCATATTCTGTTCATCTTGTTTTGTGGATGTCTGTCACCTAGTTTTATTACTTGGGCCATTGTCAAAGCTAGGCTTTGACTTCGATTTTTTGGATGTGTTTACTTTGCTGGTGATACACTGTGATGATTTGTAGGTAGCATGGGTCTTAGTACTTTCTGCAGAACTAGTCTTATATAGGCAAATTTCCTCAATGACAGCTCGTTAGTAAAAGATTTGATTTTTCCATCAAATATGAAATTCAATTTCACAGGATACAGAATCCTAAGCTGGAAGCTGTTTTGTTTTATTTTATGGAAAGTCAGAGCCCAATCTCTTCTGACTTGTAATGTTTCAGCTGAGTAAATCCTCTGTCACCCTGATATATTTGTCTCTGTAGATCAGTTGGTGCTTACTCCTGGCTGCTTCCATTTTGACTTTGGCCAGGTTCATTACAATGTGTCAAGGATATGCTGTGTTTCTATTGAAATGAACTGGGGTTCAATATCTATCTATAAGGGATATGTCAGAATCTTTTGTGATGCTTGGGAAATTTTCACTGATGATATCCTCCAGAGGGGCTTCCATTCCTTTGTATCATTTCTTCTTCCCATTCAGAGATATCTATAATTTGTATACTTGTATGCTTCATGAAATCCCATAATTCTCTAAGGGATTGCTCTGTTTTTACTCTCTTTTTTTCTGTTGCTTTAAATGACTACGTTAGCTCAAGAGCTGTGTCTTCAATTGGTGAGATTCTCTCTTCTCCATGATTTAATTTGCTGTTGAAATTTCTACTGCATTTTGAAAATCCCTGAATGACTCTTTCAATTCTTTAAGCTCTGATATATCCTTTCCAATTTCATCATGTCTTTCATTCATTTCAAAAATATGGAGTGCTTCATGAATTTGTGTGTTACCCTTATGCAGTAGCCATGCTAAACTTCTTTATGTTATTTGATTGCAGGATATGGGCTGCTGAAGCAAGCATTCTTCTATATTTTTAAAAATGAAATTAGGCAGAAATTTCATTTAATATTTTCCTAAATGGTTATCTAATTGTGCTAATAACATTTATTAAATTATTGATTTGCGATGCCATATAAGCATATCAATGGGTCTGTTTCATTAACCTGTCTTTCTATTCCTTCACCAATATTGCATTTCCCTGGAATTGTAGAATTATCTGGTTAGGTTCTAAGAAACATTCTGTTGTTTATTGTGATTGCAGTGAATTTATAGGTTTGGCAATAATTGACATATTGACAATATTTCATTTTGTTTTCTATGAAAAATGTATATTTATTTATTCATCCCTTCTTCTGTTTCTGTCAGTAAACTTTATAGTTTTCTCCATGAAAGTCTTACATTTTTGTTTAGGCTTATTTCTTTGGTATTCGCTATGGATATGATCATATGTATATGTACCCACACATACATACAGATGTATATGTATATATGTATATACATATGCTTGCATATATACATATGCTTTTATATATACATATATGCTTGTATATATACATATATACATATACATACATATGATTATATGTATATATTCACACACATATATATACATATTATATGTATATGTATACATATAATATGTATATATGTGATATCACATATATATGATTATATGTATATATTCACACACATATATAATATGTATATGTGTATATGTGTATTATATGTATTATATATATATAGTGGGGAGACAATCTTACTCTGTTTCCCAGGCTAGAGTGCAGAGCATCATCATAGCTTACTACAGCCTCAAACTCTTACACTCAAGTAATCCTCCTTCCCCAGCCTCTCAAGTAGCTGGGACTATAGCTGTGTGGGAACTTCCCAGCTAATTTTTGTATTTTCTGTAGAGGTGGAGTCTCTTTATATTTATGCAGCTGCTCTCAAACTCCTGGCCTCAAGTGATTCTCCCACTTCAGTCCCACAAAGTACTAGGATTGGTAGAGGTGAGCCATATGCCTAGTCCTATATTTTAATTGATTATTGTTGTATATAGAAAAATAATGTTTGCATGTTTATTTTATATCCTCCCTATTTTAAACTTTTACATTAGATTCAGTGATTTGAAGGTGATATTCTTGGATATTATAGATATATAGTCATATTATTCATCAATGGTAATAATTGAATCTTTACCTTTCAATCTCAGTGATTGTTATAATAGGGATAGTGATGATCATTTCTTGCTCCTGACTTTAATGGGATAGGGTCTAATTTCACAATTAAATACATCTACAGTGTGTTTGGAGAAGTTACTATTATCACTTTAAAATAATGTATTTATATCCTTGTCTTCTTAAAACTTTATGATTTATATTATTACTAATGACTGTTGAATTTTATTGGATTCTTTTTATATAATTACTATTATCACTTTAAAATAATGTATTTATTGGATTCTTTTTATATAATTACTATTATCACTTTAAAATAATATATTTATATCCTTGTCTTCTTAAAACTTTATGATTTATATTATTACTGACTGTTGAATTTTATTGGATTCTTTTTCTGAATTCAATGAAAAAATCATGTGGTTTTATTCCTTTACTTGGTTCATGTGTGAATTATATCAATACCCTTCCTATGGTGAAACATATTTTCATTTCTAAGATAAATCATGCTTACTTATGATAAACTGTTCTTTAATACAAGCTAATGAAGTCCCTGTTAAAGCACCATTGTCATAAGTTAAAGAGCTTGAAAAATAGTACTTCATTTTATATGGAATCAGGAAAAATGTGGAATAGCCAAGACATTACTCAGAAATAAAAATAAATCAGGAGGTATCATGTTGCCAGAATTCAGGTTATATCATAAATCTATAGTGATCAAAACAGCATGGTACTGGCACAAAAACAGAGAGGTAGATTTATGGAACATAATAGAGAACCAAGAGAGGAACCCAGCCACTTATCATTATTCAGTCTTTGATAAGCCTATACAAATAATCAACACATTGAATCCTATAATGGCATAAATGTATTTATGATCTATGTACGAATGACATAAAAAAAAAAACATTCAGTAGGGGAAAGACTCCTTATTTAACAAATGGTGCTGGGTGAGCTGCCTGACGACCTGTTTAAGACTGAAACTGGACCCCCACCTTTCACCATTAGCAAAAATTGATTCTCACTGGATAAAACATGTAAATGTAAGACATGAAAGTATAAAAGTACTGGAAGAGAGTGCAGGGAAAATGCTTAAGGAAATTGGCCTGGGAGAATATTTTATGAGGAGGACCCCCAGGCAATTGAAGCAACACTAAAAATATATTACTGGGGTCTGAGCAAACCAAAAAGCTTCTGCACAGCCAATAGCACAGTAAGTAAAGCAAACAGACAATCTTCAGAATGGGTGAAGATTTTTTGCAGGTTATGCTTCCCACAAAGGTCTGATAACTAGAATCCACAGAAAACTCAAACTAATAAATAAGAAAAGAACAAATAAACCCATTTCTATGTGGGCAGGAGACTTGAACAGAAACTTCACTGAAGAAGACAGGTTCATGGCCCACAAACACATGAAAAAATGCTCATCATCTTTAATCATCAGAGAAATGCAAATCAAAACCACTTTGAGGTATCATATAACCCCAGTAAGATTAGGCTACATCACAAAATCCCAAAACTAGAGATGTTGGTGTGGTTGCAGAGAGAAGGGGACACGTCTACAATGCTTGTGGGAATGGAAGCTAATATGGGCTTTTGGGAAAGAAGTTTGGAAAATCCTTAAGGAACTAAAAGTAGACCTACCGTTCAATCCTGTAATTCCTCTACTAGGTATATATGCAAATAATCAAAAATCATTTTACAAACAACATTTGCACCAGAATGTATATTGCAGACCAATTCATAATTTCCAAATCATGGAAATAGCCCAAGTGCCCATCAACTCAAGAATGGATTAACAAATTGTGGTATATGTACACCACCAAATACTACACAGCCATAAAAATGATGGAAATGTCACATCTTTTATGTTTACCTGGATGGAGCTGGAACGTATTTTTCTTAGTAAAGTGTCTCAAGAATGAAAAAAGTTATCCAATGTACTCAAACTACTGTGAAATCAGTATATAATCACCTACACATTTATATGAATGGTAAAACATAACTATAGTCCAGAAAGTAGGAGGGAAGGAGAGAAAGGAGAGGGGAAGGTGGAGGCCATAAGGAAGAAGGGTTTTTGGTGGGACTTCCCCTAATGTGCATAATGCAATAGTACATTTCAAAACTATTAAGAAAAGATTATAATTGTCTTACCAGCACAAATAAGTAAGTGAGGTGATGGATGTGTTAATCAATTCAATGTTAGCATTTCACATTGTATATCAAATCAGTACACTATACCCCATAAATGCATCAATGTACTGTGATGATTTAATAAAGAAAAAAAATAAATTCCTGTTCTTTATAAATTAAAAAAACAAACTAAATGCAGTGTACTAATATATCAATTATTATTTTTGCATCTTTGTTTTTGGATTATGTTGGCCTATGCCTTCTATTTTTATGATATCCTTGTTTGGTTTCATCAAGTTTATGCTTGGTTATAAAATGAGTTTGGTAGTTTCTCATCTTTTCCTATTCTCTGAATCTAAGAATTATGAGTTATTGAAGTTATGATTGAACTCACCTGGAAAAACTCACTCACTTGGTGCCCTTTTGTGAACAGTTGATCTGTGAGAAGCATTTCAATTTCTTCTCTAGTTTGTCTATTATTGAGTTTTCAATTTCTTCTTAGATCTATGTTAATAATTAATATTTTCCTAGAAAAGTTTGCCAATTATATCTAGGCCAAGGTTTCTGAATGTCAACATTACTGACAGTTTGAGCTGGATGATTGTTGGTTGTGGGCAGCTGTCCTGTGCGCTGTAGAAAGATCGCAACATCTCTGATTTTGACTAATTAGATGTCAGTATCACCCTCTCTCACATTTGTTACAACCAATATGTTTTTAGACATGGCAAAATATCCTTGGAGGGTCAAATTTATCAGTATGAAGTTGTATAAAATTTTGCATTTAACTCTTAAGTCTCTTATAAATTTTAATCACACCTGCTTTGTGTTCTTGATGTGTTAATATTTGTGCCTTCTTTTTTTGTAAGATGAACTTGCCAAGAAATTTCTGTTTCATTAGTAAATTTCCAGATCAGCTATAAGTTTTTCTGATCAACTATCTGTTTGTAGTTCATTCTGACCTAACTGGACAAATGTAAAAATTTAAAATATTTCATTATAAAAAAAGAATATAAAATGCAATAAACCCTACCTCCCAGCTTCAATAATTATCAACTCATATCCATGAGATAGCCATCTCATTTCATTTTCTTTTCTTTTATTTCTTTTGAGACATAATCTCACTTTGTCTCCCTCAGTAGAGAGCCATGGAGTTATACCTCACAGCAACCTCAAACTCTTGGGCTCAAAAAATCCTCTTGCATCAGCCTCCTGAGTAGCTGGGACTACAGCTGCCCACCACAATGACTGGTTATTATTATTATTATTATTATTATTATTTAAGAGCTGGGATTTAGCTCTTGCTCATTCTGGTCTTAAACTCCTGTGCTTAAGCAATCCATTCACCTGGGCTTCCCAGAGTGCTAGGATTACAGGTGTGAGCCACCATGTCCAGCCTCATTTCTTTCTATCTATATATTCTCACCTCCCTTTCCCCATATTATTCTGAAACAAATTCTAGATTTCATATTCTTCCATCCATAAATATTGGGCACCTATAACAGTTAAGAAAAGAGAGGGATGGAGCAAGATGGCCAACTAGAGGCAGCATTCATCAGAAGCTCCTGTGCAGAGAAAGTAGAGAAGCTGAAGGTGGGGAGTTGAGCACAAGAAGAATGTGAGGTGTGCACCATCCCTACTGAGACAAATTTAAGGCTAAGAAAGAAGAAAGTTAACAGAATACAGGTACTGAGTAACTACTTGGAAGGATCTTG